CCACACACACAAAATAAAATTTGAAAAATTAACTTACCCTGTATGCCCCTTGAAGGTCCTGAGCAGGGATCTGGAAGCTGGGTTGAACAATTTGATGAGCTTGTCCTCAGTGCCCGCCACCAACAAGCCGCCATCACGGCGGAAGCTACCGCTGTAGACCACGTCCTTGAACCGGCTGACGGTGCCCACAGGCTGGTGGTCGTCCGCGCGGTACAGCTGGACCTTGACAGGGGTGGACAGATTGAAGGTGTGGTCAGGTGTATGTTGAGATAAGGTGAGGTAAGATAAGATAAGGAGAGAGGAAAGAGGAGGGAAGGGAAGGGGTGATGGGAAGGGAAGGGACGGAAAGTGAAGGGAAGGGGAGAGAAGGGAAGGGAAGGGGGGATGGGAAGGGAAGGGACGGAAAGTGAAGGGAAGGGAAGGGACGGAAAGTGAAGGGAAGAATCTTGCTGCCATTGTATGACACATTCAAAAACTATGTAGTTGTGTTCACACGCTGGCCATCAGGGGATGGGTAAAGTGGGACAAAGTAAGGGGGGAAATGGTAAAGAATCGGACTCAACGTTTCAAAATAAAATAAAATAATAAAATGTGGTATGGAAAGCTAATGTGAAGCTGGCAGCTAGGACTGCAGATGAAATCTTAGACCTGACTACGAGTGTCGGCAGAAAAGACAGTGAGATCGGGGGTTAGGAAGGAAGTGGGATGGAGAACGGAGGACTGCTAACAAGACTATAATATTATAACATTTTCATCCTTGAATTTCTCAGCTAGTCAGTTTGAAGACCAAGAAGATGGCCGGTAGGAGCGCCAGAACTACATGAAAAACGTATTCTCCTCTTGGGCTCCGCCTTCGGGCATCCCGTGGATTAGACATGCCTGTCAGATAGCGACAAGTTATTGCTCAGCGCCACAAAAAGAAGACGGTGACATTTTGAAAAAGTAAACCAAATAAACTGTACAATTCTGTTGCCTCGGGGTCCATCAGAGTCCAAAGAAAGCTATAAAAATAAAACTAAAGAAAACAACAACAACCCCAAAGCTGAAATGAATTTCTGCGATCAATGTTTTTAAGCCATAAAAAAAAGGAGAAAAAAGACCACAAAATAGAAGGAAACAAATCCCCTCAGTCAAAAAAATCCCTATCACATCTGAACTGCTTTTAGCTCTTGTCTGCTTACACCCATTACGGTAACCAGAAACACCTTGAACCTCTATGAGGGCATTAAGTTCAACAGACGAAAAGAAAAGAAATTCCGCAGGGGGTGGGGTGGGCATTAACTCTTGTCTTAAAGACGGTAACAGCTAAACAGTGCTGTAAACACCTTGAGAAAAAGATTAAAACAGACAGAGACAACTATTTATGAAAGCTTTTGTCCGGGGGGGGGGGGTAACTTCCCATGAACTCACTAAAGATAGGGTGAACAAGGAAATGTATTGCAATATACATGGCAGATAGGCAGCCTGGTGTTTGATGTTCCGGAACGATGTCAAGCCAATCCCAAACACATTTTAAAAATCCGCAACAGGTAAAATAGCAAAAATACTCCTCAGAACTTTTATTTTTCAAAAACATCCTGTTTAGAAGCTAAATGTATGCCGTCCATTGAAAAAAATAAAACGGCTTTTTAGAATAACGTTTGGTTCCTTATGAGTTGGACTTTGAGATTTTGAAGCTATGACAAACTCCATTAGTCTTTTCATCGTTTTTTCGGAGTTGTACCATCAAGTTGGAGGGTACTTCTGCACAGCACGATTGGGCCTTTTTTCTATCTTACTAGCAACTAACAAAAATGAGCGCACTTGCAGCACAGTCTCATGTTCTACAATCACGAGGTACACATAATTAGCATTGACTCACGGTCTTATGCATTCTCGGGCGTATACTACAATTGTGATCGGTCTTGACTGCTGCCCAAAACAAATGTTGCATTTCGCTTATCTTTATTTCAAGTTTGGGTCACGGGAAAATGAACGCTGTAATCCAGGTAAAATTTTACACCAATTATCAAAAACCAAGAGAAAACATTGCTAATTTATGGTCGGACGTAAAGCATTTTTTCCTGACCTATTAAAACAAATAACACATGTTCAGTTTCACAATATGGAATAAATGGGTATATTGTATCAAAAGTCATTCCCCAAATGCCGTTTTATTTATATGAAGGACAGCCTAAAGAAGAAACGGGGGCGATGTACACAGAATGCATTTTGCCTTGCAAGATACGAAACATTTGTTAAAAAATAACCTTCCTCGATTTTGTATCGCCCTCCAACATTTTTTTGGTCAACCTTTGGCACAGGTATAAACCAGTTCAAATCCCCTCTCAGACCTTCAATCTCAAAAACGCCTTTCCGTCGTATCCCTCGACTTTCTCCAAAGTAAAATAAACAAATCTTCATCCGAATCAACCGTTTTATGCGGATTTTCTTCATCCTCCGAAACTTTCAGCAAAGACAAAACAAACAGAAACCCGGGAATACGTTAGACGGTATAATCCTATTTCACGGCATTAACACTGCCAACCATTAAATCGAGAGTAATCTAAGCCACGTGTGAACAACGGTCGGCCAATCACAACCGATGAGGCGGCCGGGGGGACTGCGTGCGATTGGTAGCTTCCTTTTGCCCGTCACAGGAATTAAGTTAGGGGTCCTGGCATCGAGTTTCAACATTTCCGTTGAAACCATCCCCCATCCAAATGCGAGTCGGGAGAAGCTACAGCTACAAGTACTAAGAAGTACACAACGACAACAACACTTCCAGATGCACTAGAGCGGGGGTTTTGTCAGCAGGGTACAAGCTGAGGAGAGGAAGAGCTGATATATACTACTAAAACAGACGAAGATTTCTCGAATGGAAGAACGATTACCGTTCCATTTTGCGCCTGTATGTGTTATAGCTCTAAAAACAACCCTAATCTTCGGAACAGAATGAAACGCAGGAAGGAACAATAAAAGAAGACAGATCATTCCTTTTCAAAAATAATAAAAGACAGACAAAAAGAATAAAAAACAAAGGAAAGAAAGAAAGACAGAAAGAAACAAAGAAACAAAGAAAGAAAAAGCTTGGCAGCCTGCAAACTAGAAGACAGTATGACAGACGGATCACGCAGCTGACGAGGAAGAAGAAGCCAACTCCGCAATGTAACAGTTTGGGAATCCTTTTAATCAACGCATTTTTTCCTTCTGTCGCTCTTTCTCCTTTCCCCTAATCCTTCCAAAGTCAGCTGCCGGGAGAATGGAATGGAAATCATTCTTAATGAACGAAATCATCAAAGGTGATTCCAAAAACAAACACCAAATGAGCAAGTATCCCGCTAGTCAGGTGCAAGATTCACGAGGGTTCTTTTTTTATCCCCCCCCCCCCATCCCCCGCTATGATTTCCTTCAAGTTTTTGGGTGCATCGTTCGATTCCCGCAGTAAAATGTTTTTGAGGTTGGTCGGGACAGGGCACTAGAACTAAACACTTTTCAGCCAAACACTGAGCGACGTGTGGAAACATCTGCTAAATACGGCATGGGTTGTATTAATTCCTCACTTCCTTTCCGGGCAAGTTCTCACTTCTGCTGGTGCGCAGTCTGGGACCGGGGCAGAAATCGGAGTTTTAAATAAAAAGGTTATTAAATAAGAAAATCAACGTTTCGTCTTTGCTCCTTTTCTGCCCCCGCCCCTTCATTAACCCACTGCTCCGTTCGTCTCTTCTTATTTTGAAGACATTTTTAAAAAACCATGTGTTTAGCCTAACTGAAAATTTTGGGCGGAGGGTAAGGAGGAAAGGAGGAGGACGTAAAACTAAAAAAAACCCCACTCAACTAAACTAAATATAGTTGTCAGTTCCTGAATGTCAATGCTGCCATACTTACAGTACTTCCCCAGGGCGATGACAAGATTCTGACTTCAGACAAAATAGAAGTACAGGAAATCATAAACGGTGTTTTGAGCATCATTATATCCATCCCTGCCCTTTCCTCTTTTCTTACTCTTCCGCTTATAAAAATCTAGCCCAAGTCCAAAAGGAAATTTCAAATATCATCGCCAGCAGCAAGAGGCATGCTAAGATCACAAGGAGCAGATGTTTCAATATTATTTCTCGATCTTCAAGATTCACAAGTTTTGCAAAACCATTACGTCTGTGTATTCTCCCTGAGGCGACGGGAATTGCTAAGCACGTGCCTACGGGAGACCAACTAATTGAAGAAGTATTAGACGAAAGAAAAAAGAAGAAAAAAGAAGAAGGAGGAGGAGGAGGAGGAGGAG